AAAATCGCAACACGGTTATTTTTCAAGTACGTCTTACAATATTTTGCGGAAGTATAAATAAAGGTGCGCGCGTTGTTGAGGTGTCCAATAAATCAAATTTTAATATACAGAGTGTTTATTAAAAAATCTGAAACTTTACACTTTGTAATTATCGATATTCAAATTTTTCAAACGGAACACCTGTTTTTTATTACTGTTACTTACTCTAATTTTTGTTCTCATTCTTCTAAGATGCAGATGTGTCTCTTTACAATAAAATATAGGACGTTCTATTTGAAAAAATAGGAATATCGATATTTGAAAATTGTAAAAATTAAAAAAAATGTATAAGCACTCTGTATATAAAAATTTACTTTTAGTTATACCACAAGAAAGCGCGTACCTTTATTTATTTCTCTACAAAATATTGTAACATAGGTGTTAAAACTAACCCTACTGAGATTTGTTTGCTAAAAAAAATCAAGAAAATTGGAATAACGTGGCAACGTCGCACCGGTGTTTCAAAAATAAATTGTAGTTGTAAATCTAATCAAAATGGGTCAAAATGTTTCGGTTTTTGAATTTTTTGATTGCCAAATTTTTCGTCATTTCAGTTTTGGAACTTTTAATTTCTCAATTTTTCTGTTTTCAGATTTTTGAAACTTTGAATTTTCGGTGTCTCGGTTTTTCGATTTTTCATTTTTTAAATTTTAGATTTTTCGATTTCTCGTTTTCTCGATTTGTCGAATTTTCAGTTCTTCGATATTTCAATTTTTCGATTTTTTAAATTTTACATTTTTCAATTTTTGTAGTTCTCGACTTTTCAAGTTTTTCACTTCTAAATTTCTTAACATTCCAATTGTGTAAACTTTTCGATTTCGAGATTTTTCTATTTTTCATATTTTAAATTTTCGATTTTGGCGTATATCGATCTCTCAATTTTTAGACATTTGTTTTTCGATTCTTCCATTTTCCGATGTTTCAATTTTCTTGTTTTTATATTTTATATTTTTGAATTTTTCGATTTTTAGATATTTCGATTTCTCGATTTTCCAATTTTTCGATGTTTAAAATTTTTATTTCTCATTTTTTTTTAAATCTTAGATTTTTCGATTTCTGGTTTTCTCGATTTGTCGATTTTTCAGTTCTTCGATATTTCAATTTTTCTACTTCTCTCTCGGCTTTTCGATTTCTCGATCTTTTGATGTTTTGATTTCTGGGTTTTTCGATGTTTTGATTTTTTAATTTTTTGATTTCCCAATTTTTCGCCATTTCAGATCTGGAGTTTTTGAATTTCTCGATTTCTCTGTTTTTCTATTCTTCCATTTTCCGATTTTTAGGTTTCTCCATTTTTCAAGTTTTTGATTTTTCAATTTTTCAACATTTTAATTTTGGGAAGTTTTCAACTTCTGAATTTTTTAATTTTTCAATATTTTCATTTTTCGATTTATCGATTTTTTTATTTTAAACCTTTCAATCTTTACTTTTAGATTTTGGCTTATTTCGATTTCTCCATCTTTTGATGTTTTGATTTCTCGATTTTCCAATTTTTCGATATTTCAATTTTTAATTTCTCATTTTTTGAAGTGTCCGATTTTTCGGTTTCTTGTTTTCTCAATTTTTCAGTTCTTCGTTATTTCAGTTAAATTTCACAATTTTAAATTTTTCGTTTTTCGGATGTTTCGATCACTTGACATCTCGGATTTTCGATTTAAAATTTTTTTCGACATTTCAATTTTCATATTTCTCGATTTTTCAAGTTTTCCATTTTTCAATTTTTTAACATTCCAATCGTGAAACTTTTAACTTTTCGTTTTGGCTTATTTCGATTTCTCAATTTTTCGACTTTTCGATCTTTTGATGTTTCGATTTTTCGATGTTTCAGTTTTTGAATTTTTCAATGTTTCGATGTTTCGGTTTTTCAGTGCTTTGATTTTTTAATTTCTCGATTACGATTACTAATTTTTCGTCATTTCAATTTTTTAAATTTTACGTTTTTAGATATTTGATGTTTCGTATTCTTATATCTCAGTTTTTCGATTTTTAAAATGCTTCTACTTTTCGATTTTTATATTTCTCGATTCTTCAAGGTTTCGATTCCTAAATTTTTCGATGTTTCGATTTTTTAAATTTCTTTTTTTTTTTAATCTTAGATTTTTTGAGTTCTCGTTTTCCCGATTTGTCGATTTTTCAGTTTTGGTGTTTAGATTTCTTGACATTTCGGAATTTTTCAACATTTCGATTTTTGTGTCTTGATTTTTCAAGTTTTCCATTTTTCAATTTTTCAATATTTTAATTTTTCGGTTCCCCGATTTTTCTGTTTTTTCGATTCTTCCATTTTCCGATTTTTCAGGTGTTTGATATTTCAGTTTTTCGAATTTTTAAATTTTTAATTTTTCAATTTTTTAAATTTTGCTTTTTTCGATTTTTTGGTGTTTCGATTTCTTATATCTCGGTTTTTCGATTTCTAATATGTTTCAGATTTTCGATTATTAGATTTCTCTATTTTTCAAGCTTTCGATTTCTCAATTTTTCAACATTCTAATTTTGGGAAGTAAAGACTTCTCGATTTCTGGATGTTTTCAGATCTTTCAATTTTTATATTTTCCAAAAACAAGCCAGTTTTTACTCCAAATACAAAATATTTTATTTCCATATTTGTTATAATTATAATTAGTTTACATTATTTACATTTTTATAAAAGAATGAACTTATTTTTAGTTTCTATTTAACATATTTTTACTGATTTTTTTTTCAGTTACAGGGCGAGGTATCCAAAAAGGGACACCTTGAACAACATTTTTGTTAATGAACCTATGTTAACGAAATTTAATTTAAGTATAAATAAAAACGAATGAGTTCTTACATTTCATTAACATTAAATAGTTAATAGAAAGCAAAATAATTAGAAAAAAACGTCATCTTTTTTTATTTATTTGCATTGCATTAATTTTTTACATTGTTTGAAATAAATAAAAAAATTATTCGAGGTGTCCCCTTTTAGCTGATTCACCCTGTACATTTCTCGAAAATTTAACATTTTATGAGGATCACACTAGTCTGTGCTCATGTGAGAGTTTCCAAAAATATGAGTACAAATGATGTTACTCATATCGGATGATTTTTTAAATTTCTGCTCTAGTTAACCATGACTCTTGGGTCAGCAGGCTAACGTAAGTGTTGTGGCTAACTAGAGCAGAAATTTAAAAAATCACCCGGTATTTTATAGTGCTAGGGAACTACAAAAATTTGCAAACAATATACCTGTTTTGCCATATATTTTGTCATAGTAAGATTAAATAGTAAACCGCTATGTTTTTTTTTTTAATTATACCGGGTGTTTCTAATATTATCAAAATCTCTAAGTTATATGTGTCAATAAGTAACAGTATCACCCAGATTTTTGGTCAATATATTTTTTCTTCGTGTTTTTTAGTAACGTCACTCAAGCAAATTGTTTTGGACATCTTATCATATACATATTTAATTATAATAATTCACTTTTAAACTAAAGAATAAAAAAAAATGAAATACTAGTAACGCTATTAGCAAGAGATTTCGACAAACCCTACAGTTGTAAATAATGGCAATGTTCGCAGACTGTATTGACCGCAGGATCTAAATTTCTGGAGGTTCAGCGGCCGGACTATACACACAGGAGCTAAAAAAAATGGCGGAACTAAATTCTTCAGTTTCACACGTCCTCGTCTCGGTTTGTCGGTTCTTTCGCCCCTCGTCGCCGCCACTGTCCAATTTCGCTTTCCGCCGCCCCCGGCCCCTCTCTAATTGGCCGCGCTCGCCACCCTGCCCCCGAAATATGACAAGTATTCGAAGATTAAGGTGAACGGTATTTGTCGGCAGCATCGTGATGTAATATTGTTTACTGGTCGCGATAAGTGGAAGGTTGAAGCGTTTATGTAGTGAAATGGGAAAGGAAGATCCAGGGAATAGCTCTTGCGACCACCACGCCAGGCGGCTTATCTGATTTGCGAGTTGTCACTCACCGCCAATATTGACTCGGCGTCTGGGCCGGGGGCGGGGGCGGCGTTCCGGCCCCGCCGCCGTCCCTAATCCCGATAATCAATCGAGGAGCAGCGCGTAATTAGCTCCGGTGCAGCTCTCGCCGTAAAAATTAGTTCCATTGTAATTCGGCCATAAAGTTTGACCTTTGTAAACCCGCCTTGGGTCCCTAATAACTGGTAGGCCGGGCCGGGCTTTGTTCTGCTAGGATGGAGCCCGCGCCCCGACCCACTAGATTTTATCGGCACTCATATATATTTTTTTTGGTCGGCTCTTATTTTTGCTGGTTTGCCCGCTGCGTACAGATCCTGCAAGCCATGTACTGGCACCTCGGCAGTCCACGTGGAGTTGACGAGACCTGTCGCCGGGTTGCGTGGCAACGAACGAGCCAGAACGGCAGCGGATTGGTCGGTGGAGGTAGGTGATTGGGTGGCTGCGCGAGCTCGTTTAAAGTGGGCGGGCGCGCGGTGCGATTGGAGTTTGAGGCGAAACGCGGAGGGCGATTGGCCGCCGGCTTTTGTTTCGGGCAGTCCACGTGGACCCGCGACCAGCTTGGTATACTGGCAATCAGGGCGCCATATTTATAAGGGTGAAAGGGGCTGAAGTGAAATCACGCGGGTGGAACAAGGACGGATTCGACCCCTGTTTCAGCTAAAATGAGATGCTTTCTGCCAGGCAGCCATTTTGAGGGTAGTTTTTTGTTTTTTATTTTTTATATTTTTTGTTGCGAACATGTACGGATCATTTTAGGGGTGTGAGTACAAGCGGGTGTAGAAGCGGTAGTCAGGTGGAGTGACCGCGGCGGCGGCGGTGTGGGAATACACAACGCCGGCGACAGTTTACCCGTATTACTACATTCACGCTAATTGCAATCACAGTGTTGCCAATTAAAACATGACCCAGTTCGCGGCCACCGCGTCTTCCAGACTTTACGATCGCTCATTATTTCCACAGCATAAGAACTAATCCGCGTCTTACACTCGCCGTAAACTTCATGTGTGCTTCGTTAGCGCGACGGCCCGACGACCGGCCGAGGGACCCTTCACATATAATATAATTATAAATATTCGCGAGCCCTCCTTTTTTCCCCGACTGTACGCTGCCGGTGTTCGGGGTTGTAGGCTTTTTGTAGGGAGCGTGGGGTGTGTGTTAGCGGTTTTGGGCGCCGTTCCGGTGGCGGTGGTGGGGAGAACCGCTGCCAGTCGCTTGCGAACCGTGCTAGAGAGTGGACGTGTTTGAGTGTGCTCGAATGCGCTACGTCAGTGGCCAGTGCTCGTGAGTGTGCTAGTGTGCAGTGCCCCTTAGGATTACGCGCCCCGGTGCATAGTGACCATAATGTGTTGCTGACGTAAGATGTACCCGAGTGCAGGAATGAACGCGGCGGCAGCAGCAGCAGTCGCGGCCGCGCGCCATCCGGTAAGTGACGCGCCATGTGGACGGCCCTTAACTAAGGCCGGCTCCGCACTACCTCTCCACGCATTCGTTCCGACGCTTTCGGCATCCCGATGCGGGGTCGACGAACGATTCTAAGGACGCGATTCCCGGAGGACCGGAAAAGTTCGACCCTTGCGAGAAAAAGCGTGGCGCTAATTTTACGCACACACCAACAATGGCGGTTCAAGGATGCAGTCGTGCCTCCATCCTGTTACGATTACTACGGTCTGCTAATTAAGGCCGCTTCACAGTTGGCGTTCATCATCGCGGATAGGGGTTACGATACACCTTGCGCTTTTTTCGCGCAAACGAGACTTCGAATTACAATTAACCAGTCGGTCGGACCTGCCACTTCTAACAGGTTTCCTATTAAAAGCGACTTCCTGACGACCAGGATTTATGTTCGGTTATTTGGAAATGGCTCCCACAGTGCGAGGGGGACGATCGGATACGCAGTAATTAATATGGTCACCCTGACCTCACGCCGTAAACACTAACACAGCATAACTGCGGTCGCAAAGGTTCGTGCGATTTTTCATATTTAGTACGGGCGCTTTCTCGAAAAGGCGGCACTCAACCAAATAAATCAAAAATACACAACATACAATTAGGTCTCAACATGTATTTCATATTGGTTTCTGTTCTCCGACGCGTCAGACGGAATCTGGAGCGTCACAGGGAGCCAGCCGCTGCCCGCTCCTATTTTACATCTTCATCAGTGATCCGCCCGCCGGAATTCCTTCAAAGCTCCGTCGGGCGTCCGTTGTCCCATTCTGCCGTCGCGCCCCGCCGCCGCCCCCGAATTCCCGCCGTAATGAGCGCCTTTCGTGGCGTCGGAACGTTATAATTTGACCTCGAGGTGTGCGTGCGCCGTGCAATTCGCACGTTTTGTTTCTCCACTCTTTATTTTTCCCGTAATCGAGTTTTTCTTGGTTGTTTTATCTGCGCCGTTGAGATTATTTTACGGCTTCTTGGATATCACGCTTCACGGACCTCTTTATACTTTGACATGCGATTTTCTAAAGATCGAAACCATCCGAGGCCGAAAACGTTTCTCAATGGTGTCTGGAGGCTCGGCTTTAATGCGGAGAACGTTCAACGTTTATGCAAAGAGCGCATTTTCCACGGTTTGACAAGCGCGTCTAATAGAGGTGTTGTGCTTCAGTGGTTGTGCAGCACCGGCGATTCTCTTGTAGCCGGACGAAACGCGGAACCGAGGCTAAAGGCGCGCTTGCACGACGCGAAATGTCGCAAGCCGGGCTGGGGAACTCGGGTTTCATTATCAGTCTCTAATTGACTCATATTCAATCGAAGGGGCGCCAGATTGGACCCTTGGAGAGCACCAGCCACTAATCAATAAAAACTGTGTTGATTAAATTGAATCATATCACAAAACTGATTCAGATTCAGAGATTTAGAACAATGACACTGGGGAAATCCTAGAAAGATAACCTCCTCATTTTTAGAATCTTTCCAGTGCATTTAGAAGCAATGTAGCTTTGGCACCGTATGCAAATGCCGTTTCACTTTCGGCGTCCCAGATGAGTTAAGTTTTTGGGAAATTGATGGGTTCACGGTCCGTGTGAGCGCGGCTTGCGGCCCGAGAGGATGCGGGGCCCGGCTTTCACAAGCGTCACGAGTGGGAGAGTGATTATGCGGCGAAGACGGTGCTCTACTGGCGTGAGGTCAAATGTGCGCATATTTCTGCGATGGGTGATTATACATTCGGGAATTGCCCAACGCTTGTGGGTGTCTGACAAAACCGAAAGTGTCTCGGTATGCGCAAGATTTTATGTTCGGCGATTAGAGGACTGTGTAAATAAATTCGTGTTCACAGTCTGCTGTTTTAGCGTTGTTTACAAAAGTCAAGACAAAATAAACAAAGATAACAAACACCTAATGGGTTCTTTGAAAGCCAAATATCTCGATGCGTGTGCACGTGGTTTCTAAAATTACGATTAAAAATTTCGAGTCGTGTGAACGTTGTTGTGTAAACAGACGCAACGTGCTGATGACGTATTCGTCTCGGTCGAAACGTCTTCCGAGGGGTGTCGAGTGAGTAATAAGCGTAGTCGGATCTCCTCTTAACCCCAAATACGCTTCGATGGCCCTTTTCTTTAGGGGAGAAGCAAGAATGGGGCGCACCACCCTTATTTGTTAAGCCCTATATTATTAAGCCGCTCCCTAACCTGCGCTAATGACATCTGGCGTCACTATCCCGTTTTCTTGACTAATTATTGTTATTATACGAAATTACACGGTTGCCGTATTGGTACCTGCAATAACGTCGTTACCGACTTGAAGCACTAATTAATTATTAAATTTCGAGTGCCGTCTCGTAATTACGGCTTGGAACGACGGGAACGGAAGAATATTGAAAAAGCATTTTATTGCTTGTAATTTACATTAAATATGCAGAGGGTATCGCAGGGGTGCATCCAACAGGGACTCATCATCTAATAATTAATAAGTTAGTCGTCTTTCCTTTTCGAGCTAAAAACGGCATTGTGGATTAGTTACGCTTTGAAATTTACACTTCCTCGAAAAACTTTCTCTTCGTCTTTTCGTCTGTTCGTTTACCTGCTAGGGGATGTCTGGCCCTTTTGTACTCCAACATGTATTCATATCAGCTGCTATTTATTGCAGGGGTCGTCCCATAATCTGCCTCTTGCTGCGCTTAGCTTTAATTCAGGGTGGGAATGTGCCTTTACGATTATAAACCTCCCTTCTTGGGGCCCCGGGATTGTTATAATGGGTATTAGCACCCCGGTTTGTTTTTATTATTTCCTCCCTTTTTGGCAATTATATTGAAATTATTTCGAGGGTGCGCCGACAAAAGACCGGTTTCGCCGGACGCGTACGCTGTAAAAATTACAGCCGTACACTGTAAAGTCTTGTCCGCGGCGGTCTGAACTGTCACAACGGCGTAAGTGGGCGTGGCTAACCCGGCCGCTCTGTCGCAAAGACGGCGTGATTATTTCACAGCGCGTTGAACAATCAATTTAACATAAATCAGACCAAACACAATAAACAACAAATTGCATTTCGCGGTACATCCAATTCCGCGGGCGTCACGGCTGTTCAAAGAAAGCCGACACAGCATAACTCAGGAATATTATTCTTTTGAGTAATGACTTCTTGTAAACCCGAGTTGCCCTCTATACGCGTAGGCAAAATTGCTTGCGTGTTGAATGTTACACGTTTATGTAATTTATTCGCCGCTTTTCTTTTCTATTAGCTATTTTTGTGGCGTCTTCCAGCGTGATGTGTAATTTTATAACCGTCCATTTTGCGATTTTACGGTCATCTTCGTGCGTTGGCGTTTTCAATTTGATTAATGACGGGGTTCGCCGCCAGGGCGCGTCGCGGTAGCCGTGCGTGTAAACGCGGCTTTAGGATGGGTACAAGTGTCCGGGTATGATAAATATTGTGTATTGATGATCTAACAGACCGATATCTCATTTAATATATTCACGTTTCATGTTTACACTGCACAGTAAAAAACACACACAAATAGAATAACAACCATCAATTTTTTACAGCGTGTACGCTCCATAAAAAGCGTTTTTTGCTACATAGTTTATAATTAATCATTTATGCTTGCCGCTGTGTAGCGGCATAAAAACATTAATTGTTAAACTTGTGTCTATTATCATTCGGGGCGTTTATTTTGTTATAGTGATTGCTTGTGTGCCTACTTCCCGGAATTGTGATATAAATTATGCGATCGTAATTACTTTCGTGTACGTTTTGCTCTTTATACAAAATACCAAAGCACTTATTGACATGACGAAGAAACAAATTCAATTAAGTAACGACTTTGTTTAGTGAGCAAATATTTTATCTACATTAGATATTTGTTTGGAGGCTAAACATGTTGTTCCAGGTTGTTGGTAAAGTCTGTACATATTGTACTTCTTTTTATGTAACACGCCAGTCGATGCGAGCTTTGGGATTGATATATGGCCCTTAGACGGCAGGTGGCGTTATAAATAACAATAGTTTTGTCTAGCTAAAGCCAACCACACAACCAAAAAACACACATTTCCACGATAATCTCCTAAGCAAACTGTATGAATAATCAACTTATTATTTCAATATGCGTTCCTCGAGCTATACTTTCTTGCAAGTTCCATCTTGCTCCACCTTCCCCTACCACTTGTTCAGCTAAGACACCCAGTATACTAATTCCTCACTGTCAAGGCGTGTAAATAATCTGGCTTTAACAGACTGTTAACATTCGACACCCGGTGTCCCCGGCGATAAAACTGATAAACCTGTTTAGACAAAGCGGCGTACAGCGCATAAAAATGCTGTTAAATCAATGTTCCAATGAAAAAACTAATCGGAAGTTTGCGCATATTTCGTCTAGCGAATTTGCATCATCGATGTTAAAACCGATAAAATGCAGTTGGCTGTGTTTACACGTCCGGCTATACAGATGTCCCTCGCTGCGTTCGCGCTCGAAGTCGGTCCGTTGTAAATATTTATTTAGTCGGTTCGCGTGGACCATATGGTGGCAGTATAAACACGAATAAATCGTGGAGTTGTGTACACGTAAGTTTTTAGGTGGCTTTTAAAGTTGGCACCCTCCCACCGGAGCATAAATCTCCGTCGATGTGCGTTCTGTTAAAAATAATGCATAATTAGGGTGCAATAAAATTTTTATGTGTTTATAAACAAGTTGATGGCTGCATAAAGCCAGTGGAAGGGTGCCAAAACGTCGCAAGTGTAGCGATGTAGCGATTTCGGAGTGCGCTTAATCATCCTAAAAATGAAACACTGCCCTCATTATATTCCAATCGGAGCTCTATTGCTCTATTATTAACATATAGAGTCTAATGGTTCACAACATCCGCTAATTGATCCGACTTAATAGAAAGTTTAAAGCAATTAGGCCGCATAAAGGAACCCATTCAGACGTATTTAATTATTGCCACATACATAATAAAATCTGTTTAGTTATTATGTTTTTTTTCCAC